TTCTGAGTGGCGGGAGGGTTTGGGCTGGCCCGAGGCGGTGTCCCGCAGCGCTGGGCCCTCGGGGCCCGTAAGCGGCGAGACGTTCCCTCCCCCAGGGAGGGGTGAGGAATGGCGGCCTGTGGCGGATCGAGAGCCTCTGTCCCAGCCCTGCCCGGGGCAGCTGGCAGGTGCTCGGGCAACCCCATGTCAGTCCCGGCCTTGGGGCGTGGCGTGGATCGGCCCCCGGCTGCTCGGCTGGTAGAGGGCTGGGCGCTGGCGAGGAGGCAGGAAGGAAGCTTCAGGGATCATGCCGGTCCCTGTCCCCATGCCTTCTTTTGTCCCGGGGGCAGGAGCCAGGTACCACCAAGCAAAGGATCTGCCCCGGTTTCCGACAGATGTGCGTTTGCGAGCCTGTAACCCGGAGCATCCCTGTTACGGTGCCAGCTGCTGCCCTGCCACCAAGCATTTGGAATTGGCTCCAAAGGAAATGGATCTTGGCCAGGGCCAGCATGGAATTTGCCTTGCGTGGCTCATGCGAGCAATTTTTCTGCGAGTGCTGATGCTAGTTTCTGACATACTGATGTCTTTAAACGGTGTATTTCAGGGTTAAATAAAAAAGCCCTACCTCCTTCATAATGTTTTCTCCATGCTTGGTAGAAGTCATTAATTTCTTGGAGGCCAAAGAAATTTTCTTTTCTAGATACTTGTTCATTTGCCTCTTTTTCATGTAATAATCTATTTTACTTGTGTGCTAGGTTAAAATATTGCTCTCTGTGGTACTTTGTCTCAAAGGGGAAGGAACAAAAAGTCTTTGAGCCAAAGAATGTGTTGTTTACATTTTTTACACACAGGAGAAAGAAAAAAGGATGGAAATATGCTGTTTTACACACATCAGGACAGTTCTTAAGCCACTTGACTCTTCATAAAACATATTTTTGCTGCGTGTTTGTTCAAAAGGTGAATCAGTTGCTTGAGGGATTTTGGTGAGAGGAGGATGAATAGCATTTTTGATACTTAAATAACAGTTTGAGAAGTCACAGGGGACTTCAGAAGAGTTCTGTTACTGTTGGTAATGAAGTTACTTGGTGGTGAGCATTTCAAACAGATACATACGTTTGCAGCTTCTTCATTTGTTAAATAACAATACTTCAAATGTTTCTTGAACGTGGTAATTTTTTGCTTCCTTTAGAACATAATAGAGAAAAAACAATTACTGTGCATCATCTTCTTACAGACAGCCTTGGGTGTAACTAGAGCTATCGGTGTTGTTTCTTACTCCTTTAGTGGTAGACTCAGTAATCTGCAAGAAATTAAATGGACAGATTGTAAAAACTGGTGGTGTTCCTGAGGAAATATTTTGAATACAAATAGTTGAAAATCAGAAAAATTGTGTTAATTGTGATGTGGGTTAACGCCAGTAGGCAGCTAAGTACTACACAGCCACTTGCTTGCTTTCAAAGAGGAAAGGAGGAGTAAAAGCAAGAAGACTTATCGGTTGAGATAAAACTTGTTTAAGAAGCAGAGGAAAGATAGAAAAAGAGAGAGAAAACAAAACAGGTGATGTAAAGGCAATCACACCTTCCACAGGTAGACCGATGCCCAGATGGATCCTCAGCAAAAGACGGGTAACCTCCTTAAACCCCCTCCTCTCGCTTACTGTTGCTGAGCATGACACCTTACAGTGTGGAATATCTCTAGTTAGTTCTGGTCATTTAGTTGTGCCCTCTCCCAGTCCTCTTGCACACACCCCAGTCTTCACTGGGGCAGGGGTGGAGGGAGAGGGAGAAACAGAAAAGGCCTTGATGCTGTGCAGGCTCTGCTCAGCAATAGCTGAAACGTTAGTCTGTTATCAGCATTGTTTTGGTCACAAATCAAACACTGCACCACTCAAGCTGCAATGAAGAAAATTAACTCCATCCCAGCCAGGCCTAATACATAAATACACTTGCTACTGTTTCTTCTTCCCTCTACTTCTGCTTCTGATCCTAACACAGGTATTACAAAAATAATATCGAAATTAGTGGAAAATGTAGGTACAAAACTACACATTATACAATTCACTCCATTTTTGCACTCTTGAAGCACACATGGCTGTGCCTTCTGCTGGCATGTATCATTCCCTGTGTTTTAGGTGAATAATGAAGCTCAGATTACTTCTGCAGCACTTGTTGCTGTTGAGAAAGCGTATGTTAACAAATGCCTGTCGAGAGGATGTGTACAATGGACAGGAAAGATCTGAACAGGCACCAATTAAAAGACAAGTTCAGATAAGATGTCATCAATGGGTAGATTTCTAAATACATTGTCTTTCCTTCATGGTGCTTTGCTCTTTGAGCTTGAGTTTGGGAGTCCTAACTTTGCATGCAGTTTTTCTGGGGAGAGTAGTAATTCATATCCTGGTTTAGTGAAAAAGTAAGAGTCACTGAGTATTTTCCACAGGCACCCCTACTCAGCTTTCCATAGTGGTGGAATGCTGTAAACAGGTCTAAAGGGGGCTGCTCTGTCATCATGCCCAATCTTAACATCTCTGCGTAATTGCTTTCATAAACTTCACCTTAAAAATGGTTCAGTTGTTCCTTCCTTCTTTTTTAGGCTTCTCTAGAATACAGATAGCCTAGGAATGAAAAGTTAGTTTCTAGTAAAGTTTGATCAGGATCACTTCACGCCCATTTGCTCTTATTCTGCTGTCCTTAAAATTAGAATTATTTTTCCTCCTTAGTGGTAATCCCAGTAATAGTTTTCTTGAAAGCAAGTCTCTTTTCATCAGGGTTTTGCTAGGTTTGACAAGTTGCACTTTCATATTATTTCGGTTCATAATACAGGCAATCTGTGCCACCATCCTGATAATGTTTTTTGAAGTTGCTCTTTGAATCCATCTTCGTGGGTGATTGTACCTCTGTATGATATTGTACATGAAAACTCACGAGTGCCTTGTTGCATGACGTTGGTACTTTTCTGTTTTTACTGAAAAAAGTCTACCTAAACTTTAGCTTTCTGTGGCCACCTCATTTTGGGATTAACTGACAATCCACAAGGGTACACTTCTACCTCTCACATTCGGTTTTCAACTGTAAAGCTCTGAATTCAAATACAAATGGTTATTATAGTCCCTAAACTCCTGTTATAGTCCCCAAGCTATTTTTTCAGAATTTTAATAGGAATCTTGCTCCAACTTGATAGTAGGTTAGTATCAAAAGAGGAAACATAACCACATTGCAAGGTTTATACTAATCCTTACTTTTTCAGCTAAACTTGTTATTTCATGTATAATAAATTACTAATGTTCATGCAGATTATATTTACTATATTTATTGCATTGATTTAGCTTTTATATGCTAGCACATTTTCCATTTTAAAAACAGTGGGAAAAGCATTTTTAATACATGTGTGATGAGTAGAAGTATTTTTGAGCTGGGGAAAACAAATCTTTAAATGGCTGAGACATGTTAATTATTGACTGCTTGCTGAACTAGATGCTGACCTACACTTAAAAATCTTGGGACAACTGACTGATCAGTGTGTTCATCTTGAGGCTGAAAAGAAAAAAGAAGAAAAAAAAAAAAAAGCCTCAAACATCGTACTCTCTGCTGAGCTGGAGAAAATTATTATTTGCCTTTCAATCTATTAAGCTGCTAAATTTCTTCTCCAGGCTTCAGTTATCCAATTTTGTTTTCTATTGCATGTGGAAAAGGCTGCATGTGTTTAATACTAAAGGGATTGCCGTACTGTAGACCTCATCAGATAACTAGTCTAATTTCTGAGTCTGGCTTCTCTCAGGCTTCTTGCTTCTATCTTCATGTTTTTTCCATCAGAAGTGTGTGAGAAATAGTGAATAACTGTGAGAATAAGGGGATAACTTTTTTCAGTTCAACCCTTGTAACCAGTCATAGGCTCAGATGTGTAGCTTTTAGCAAGGCTTTCCATGTAGTGGACTAGTCTGGAATGTTTTGATGTGAACATGAAGTAGACAGAACCACAGTGCTTCAATACCAGTTCTTTCATTGTGATTTGATCATGGGGATCACTTCTCTCCCAAGCAGTCACTGCTGTGAGTACTGGCATAAAAGGGCTAGTCTGAGCTACAATGGAACTGAAGCTGCTCTTCTATTGCTGGTGTTTTAGGGTGGGTGGGT